AAATCAGGAAGGGGGCAAACACTTTTTCACACAACTGTATATTAGGGCAAGTTAATGTGCTATTATCGCGTTAACGCCGACAATTATTTTATCGCGCGTTAACGCAGTTTTTAAAAATTATTATTAAGCGGACATTTTTAACACAAGAACCGGCAGCGAGCGGTGAACAGCTGTTTGTGTGGCATCTCTTCCATCACCTCCTGTTTCCTTCACCTACACTCCCCTGGGTCCTAAGTCCCTCCATGTACAGCTTCTTATTACCCTCTATGTACCAACGTACATTTATAACAAATACCACACATATTACGGTAATCAGCGTTGCACACGTGTCTGACCACAATACCAAGAAAAGCAAAAAATAAATGAGTTTTTAAAGTGTTTTCTTTGTAATATGTATAATAAGCATCATTTAGTTATTACTACTGAGAATTTAACAAACATAAAAACATGACGTAGATAGGTTTGCAGTTCTCAAGAAGTATATTTAAATATCATCTCTTACACATGAAGATAAAGTTATGAACAGCGGCTGAATATCTATGATCAGAATCATTATAACTGTGTTATAACTGCTGCTGTGTAAAGGGAATACTGCTGCTAACAACAACCTGATGTGTTTAAAGTGTTTAAACACATCAGTTTTTCGTTTTTAATAAATTTGCAAAAATTTCTACATTTGTTTTTTCTGTCAAGATGGGGTGCTGAGTGTACATTAATGAGAAATAAAATTAACTTTTTTGATTTTAGCAAATGGCTGCAATGAAACAAAGAGTGAAAAATTTAAAGGGGTCTGAATACTTTCCGTACCCACTGTATATATGTATGTATATATATGTATATGTATGTATATGTGTATATGTATGTATGTATATGTGTATATGTATGTATATGTGTATATGTATGTATATGTATGTATATGTGTATATGTATGTATATGTATGTATATGCATATATGTATGTATATATATGTATATGTATATATATGTATATGTATATGCATATGCATATATATGTATATGCATATACATGTATATGCATATGCATATATATGTATATGCATATACATGTATATGCATATACATGTATATGCATATACATATATATGTATATGCATATACATATGCATGTATATGCATATACATATGCATGTATACCGAGTACACATATTTACTGTTGTGTGTGCTCTAAATAGATTCATGGCTTCAACTATTTCATTTACTTTCAATGTGAACTTTCTCTGTCTGTCTCTCTTTGCCTGTCTGTGTGTCTGTGTGTCTTCAGGGGAGACCTGGCAGAAGACTCTGTTGATCCACTCAGTTACCAGAGACAGTCTGAGGAGACTCATCCAACCTAAACTCTCCAAGTAACATCCCTTTATTATTATTCGACACCACGACACCTCGACACCACAACAACTCAACATCACCTCAACGTTACACGTCTGTCTCACTTCACACCAACAGGACGTTGTAGCTGTCAGAGTATTTGATGGACAGTAAACGTGTAGTTTGTGTTTCTAATGACCCGTCTCTCTCTCAGGGTGGACTACCTGAGCCAGAAGCTGTCCAGAGCAGCAGAGACAGACAAGCAGCAGCTCAGACAGCAGATGGACAGTCTGGAGAGAGACATCGAATTGTTCAGGTATGCGTCAATGACTAGCATTAGCCCGTCCTTAGCTAGCGTTAGCAGGTTTATTCTACGATAGCTACTGAAAGTATACTGGATCTATGCTAATGATTGTAGCGGTGAATAAAGAGGAACATTAGCTTCAGCTCAGGACTTGATGTAAACATTAATATAAACATTAAAGACGTTCACATCCTGGTGTTTGACCTCTGTTTAATGCGAGACTGTCTCTGATTGGTCAGAGCGAAGAAGGACAACGAGCTGGTTGGTGATCGATTCGATGAACATGATTGGCAGAAAATCTCTAATATTGATGTAAGTCAAAAAATCAACCAATCACACGTCTGATTGTAGAAACACTAGACTGACTTCTGATAACTGCTCTCTTTCCGCTGTCTCTCTCTCTCTCTCTCTGTCTCTCTGTGTCTGTCTCTCTCTCTCTCTGTGTCTCTCTCTTTGTCTGTCTCTCTCTCTTTCTCTCCTCCCCCCTATCCTCTCCTCCTCCCCAGTTTGAAGGAACAAGGGAGGCGGAGGACCTTCGTAGTTTCTGGCAGAACTTCCTCCACCCGTCCATCAGTAAGCTGAAGTGGAGTAAAGAGGAGGTTCATCAGCTGAAGGAGATCAGCAGGAGACACGAACAGAGACACTGGGAGACCATCGCTGCAGAGCTGGGGGTCTGTGTGTCTGACTTGTCTCTCTGTCTCTCACCTGTCTCTCTGTCTCTGACCTGTCTGTCTCTCTCTGACCTGTCTCTCTCTCTCACCTGTCTGTCTCTCAGACGGGGAGGACAGCCTTCCTGTGTCTCCAGACGTTCCAGCGATTCGTGTCAGACTCGTTGAAACATGGCGGTTGGACTCCGGATGAAGACGCTCTGCTCAGAGAGCTCGTGGACAAGATGAGGATCGGAAACTTCATCCCCTACACGCAGAGTAATGACATCACATGGTGACATCACACGGTGACATCACAGTGTGTGTGTTCCTCTAACAGCCACCTGTCTCACTCTACCTGTCTGTTTCTCAGTGAGTTACTTCATGGAAGGTCGAGACCCGGCTCAGCTGATCTACAGGTGGAACCAGGTTTTGGACCCGAGTCTGAAGAAAGGGTTTTGGACCAAAGAGGAGGACCAGGTAGGCAGGGGGCGGGGCTTAGACAGGACACACCTGGTCGTTATAGCGTCTGATGGTTTTTTTACCCATTACTGGGCAAAAAACAAGTCTCTTGGTAGATAGCTAAGTCTCTCTGTCGTCCTGTCTGTCTGTCCTCCTGTCTGTCTGTCTGTCTCTCTCTGTCGTCCTGTCTGTCT